GTTTTGGAGCTTCCAGCAACCACCACAGACCTCGACAGATATACATACAAGGAGGGAGCAGGCCAAAATTCTTAAATTTAGAACATTAGAAACATGCATCGTTATCCATTTTAGGTATTGAATCTTGAGAATTCAACTGTATTCACGACTCTCAAATTAAATTAGAAATTGCATTAAATTAATTAATGCCTCTAAAATTTCAAAACTTTCTGATATTAATATATGAATAATAATGAACTTTAATAACCACACTGATAATTTATTAGTTACTATTGAATACTTTAAGTGAACCTCACTAATGACTTTGCTTTCTAACCTAACCCGTGTAAAACTTTTAAGGCTATGAACCAAGTACTATTTTTATTTTTTGTCCAAAAGGAGGTCCAATGTATAATGTAATGTCTTCCTTCAATTCTTAATCTCAAGTGCGGAGGAATTCCTTGAAATTAAATCAAACTGAACTCTTATTAATTATTATTATCAGTATCCATTTATTGAATATATATATATATATAAATGAGCTGTCATTTTGGTTAATTAATTGATGGGCTCTTAAACTTTTAACTTAATGTGCATGGTGGCGGTGGTGGTGCTGCTGCTGCTTGACCACCAGCGGTTAAGAGTATCTGTATTCTCATGGTAGCGTTTACTGCTCCGTCAGTATTCTTCATCTTCCCGAAGAAGAAGATATAATTAATTAAGGGAGTAGTTTCCATTAATCGTCTCACTCCCTCTAACATACTGTTTGGTTGCAAGGCCTCTATCTTCACAAAAGGAGGAGGGAGCAATGAGAGAAGAGGGGGGAAAAAACAAAAGGCTCCAACTTTCATGATAGAAAACGACAGTAATTTAGACCTTGCACCAAAGAAAATGTAGAAATGACTTCTCTCTTTCCGTTCACCCTTTCAGTTTTAAGCATGCCACGTTAAAGTTGGCAAATTGAGAGAGAGAGAGGGCGAGAGAGGGTCACTCTCACACCTCCCTCCTCAGTCCAAACGTAGAGTAAGGTAGATGGTCCACTGCTTAGCACTTTTGCTTTGCAGGTAGAAGACAAAGGTTTTGTAATTTGCGATCCCGAGACGAGTTCCCATGAGATTGTTCGCAGCTTTTCTTTTCCACTACAAAGTTCAAAATGCGGAATGGAACATTAATACTTTGATCAACAAGAATCTTACCAAAGAAAGACAAGGAAAGCAGAGAAAAATAAAACAAAAACTCCAATAAAGCACGCATTCCACTATGTTCTTTCCACAAAGGATTCCTGTCTCAACTCGTTGCGGTTTCATGGACACTTTCAGTAATTATTTGAAACCATGCATTATAATTGCAATGCATTTAAATCACAAATGTATTAAGAAGATGGGTAAATCACTCGCCATAAACTCTACTCTCTTTTTTTTTTTGACAACCTCAAACTTTTTGTCTTTAATTATATTTGTTTATGCCCAAATTAATGACTAATTTATTAAAATTTATTATGGAAATAAACAATTCAATAAAAAAAGCATCAAAATATAAAATAAGAAGAAATCTCATATCCAATCTCAATTTTGTTGGAAAAAAATTATTTAGTCCACCTATTTTTATTTTTTTTACTATCTAGTCTCTTTAAGTTCTTCAAATCTAAAAATTTATTATTTTAAAATTTCAGTTCTTGAGTTTAAATGGAGAGCAAGGAAGTCACCTGAAATCAAGAAAGATGAAAGAAAGTTAGTGAATAATTACTTTTGGACGATGAAATTCATTTTTTATATCAGTAAGATTCATTCACTCAACAAAAAAAATTTCATTAAAGTGTTTTTTGAACATTTATCTTATTTGAAAAAAGTAGATTGAAGTCAATAGAAAAAAAAAAAGAAATTGTTTGATTTTGAGTTTTCATACACTTTTTAGGGTTTTGTTTTTCATAATTTTTTTAGGTGATTCTAAGATGTTTATTAGATAATTTTAGGTGAAAATAGATTTAAAAAATAAATTTTTAGTTATAAAAAAATCTTGATTTTACAAGCACAACTATAGTGATTAGATTATTGACAATAAGTAACACATCGTTTGAAGTGATGCATTATCCATTTTTTAAGAAAAAAATAATTTGCCTTCAAATTCTCAAAAGTAAAAGATTATTTTATTGATTTCAATTACAAACTAAACTCTTCAAAATTCTCAAACTTAAGATGCATTTTTAAAAAATTTATAGCATCGTACATTCACATATAAGTTTAAACTATTATGAATAAATTAAAAGGGAGATTATATTAAGCAAAAAGCATGGAATCAAAACTCCAAATAAAACTAAACCCTTAACAAAAGAGACAAACAAAAATATAAAATTAGACTAATCTACGTCCATCTACAAATACACAAGTGATTTAATATAACACTGATACAGATTGAAACTTTATTAAAACATGTCTTTTTTGGATCCACAAAACAAAACAACTAGGAAGAAAAAAAGAGGATGGAAAGTAAAAGAAAACAAGTAAAAAAGCTAAAGGAGTGGTTGTAGATAAAAGTTTGTAAATATATATTAGAATAGTGTGTATCGTAATAAAATATTTAAAAAAATTCAAGGAAAATCTAGAGTGTATTCATGACTAAATATAAAAAATAAAAAATAAATTAAAGACAAACATGCTTTTAACATAAATATAATAAAAAAATAACAATATATTTACTAATTATATATCCAAACTTGCAATATTGAAATAAAAAAAAACTATATTTAAATTGAAACAAGAATGATATTTACTTGATGAAGTATTTTAAAATAATAAATTTTTTATTGTTATTATAGATAAATTATTTGTCTTTAAAACTTTAATGCTTAAGGTTTTATTACGCACCAATTGTATAACTAGAATGTTTGCAATATATTTCTTAAAATTTTAATAACATTATCTTAGTTTAAATATACTTCTAAAAAAGATATTTAAACAAAATAATATGAAACTTAAATATTTCTTAACAAGATAAATTTAAACTCTAGATTTGAGAGGAAAATTAAAGCATAAAAAAGAAAAAAAAAGTAAAAATGAGGCAAGTAAAAGAGTAAAATATGAAAAATTCAAGTTGAAAACTCTTCCTTCACCCTTTTTTTATAATGAATTTTAAAAGTTACAAGGTTGGGAAATTAATAAAAATTAATTCTCTTTATTATTAACATTTAATTAGCAACTATAAATTAAGAGTTAAACATTAAAAAATCAAGGGTTTTTTTAGTAGAAAACCAAAAGGAATTAAATTAATTTTTTATTGACTTATAATTTATTTAAATTATGTTAATTAAAATAAATATTTAATAATAGTGAAAAAAATAAAATTTATGAGGAGACGGCTTTTGTTAGACAGAAGAGAGGATAGGCTAGGGTTTTCTTCATTAACGTTTACTATAAGTTTATCATGTAATATAACCGATCTGTTGCAGACTGTATTATTTGTATATTAATTTTGTTTTGATTATAAAAGAGATTTTTTTGTTAGTTTAAGTGTCAATCAAAACTAATATAATATTTAAAATTATAATAATTATTATTTTTAAAAATATTTATTTTTATTTAAAAATACATCAAAATAATATATTTTAAACAAATTATTTTTAGCATCAATATATCTAAATAATCTAAAATCATAAAAAAATTAAATAAAAAAATTTAAAAACATTTTTTAAACATAAAACAAACACACCGAATATTTTATCTAAACATTTTAATGGTGCACTTTGCGATATCGGTATAGCACATTAATCAACATATATAATATATTAATACAAATGTCGATTTTAAGGTTAGAATCTAGAAAGTTACCAAACAAGAGAGGCATCAATTCAAAGCACTGTGCTAATTATCACGACCATATTATTAGTACGTGTGTTACGCCTTGATAGAGGAGTTCTAGAGGGTTTTGTCATTTGTTTTTGACAAATACTTAGGTCCTCCCTGCCCGCAACTTGGGCTGAGGCAAAGAATATTCTCAATGAACATTTAGTTTTTGTTAGGTTCCATGATATTGTTTATAAATTAAACAATTTCCTGGTTTAATTTTTAAAAATTGAAGTATGTGATAAAAAAAAGTATATTTAAAACTTAAAAGTGATTCCTAGTAGCTCGAAATTAAAAGAAATGTTTAGATAATAATAATAATTTTTTAAAAAATAAATAAAATATTTTTTTATTTTTTATGTTAACATAAAAAACCAAAAAAATAATCTGAAATAAAAAAATCTAAATTTTCGAAAACTCCATTGACATATTGTCCCAAGCATACTGCTAGAAGGCCGACGTTTAACTACAGGTGTCATCTGCAGGGTTCGCCGATGTTGGGAAACAGTGGAAGGTCGCCTTGAGTTTTTAGCCTAAAAACACATGTAGGGCGACCATTCGATCCTTGCTGTAAAAAGTCTAAAGCAGCATAGAGAACAATTTCGTACCCTTCCTAAAACACATATACGGCAACCACTGTACCTTTCAACTTGAATGAAAACTGGCCAGCTCTTGGGGCTATGTTTTTATATAATATTTTTTAAATTGATTTATTTTAAAAAAAATTATCTATAGAAAAGTCATAAGGTAGAAATATCTTTTAACTTGAATATATAAAAAATTAATTAAAAAACTGCTTCAAGACTTTGATTAAATCAAAGATTAAAAAAAATAATTTATGAATTTTAACTTGCACGACATTCTTTCACTCAAAGATTTACTCGGAGACATCTTTACCAAACAATAACTCGTGCTAGCTCATTTTTATCACAAGTTATTTGTGAAAAATAATTTTAAGACTATGATTAAAAAGAAAATAAAAAATTATAATTTAGAACTCATGTCAAACGGATTCTCGATCCCATTTAAAAACATTATAGAGATACCTTTTTTTTTTTTCATTTACTAGAAGATAATGCAGAAGTTAATGTCAATTGCCTAGTGATTTCCGCTCTTCATTACAAAATCCGTCAAGATTGTCGTTTGCAGAGCGGTAGAGAACAAGAGTCGAGCAAAATATAAGCAACATTAATGTTGTTTGTTAAGCTGATCGACCCCTGCATCAAATGCTAAACTAATTAAGGCAACAGAACACACGCCATGATTGTTGCAGGTAGTAGCCAGAAGAAGAAGGCCAGCACTCTATTTAGTCCTAGGCAATCTCCGGTCGAGAATTCTCCGGGAAAGAATGAGATTTCTACCATCAAAACCACTAATTCAGGAGGATGTTGTCGGAGGCTAAACGATTGCATGGCTGAGGGATCTATTGTCTCGACGAAGGAGAGCCAGCGGCAGCAGCAGTCTATATCCGAGCTGAGGCAGCAGGTATTTGGACCACAGCTACTGTTAGGTGCATGGTATGGTCAATGTCGATCAGTCCCACCTGCTAATCATATATGGCCAATTGATAAAGCTGGTCTCATTTATACTGGCCCAACTAGTCAATCTATCAAAACACTAGCCTGGTCCATGGCCTATAACGCGTAGATTGTTTGTTGAAAGTTGAAATCAAATCTTTCTTTTTTTTCTATTAAATGGTAGCCCATATCATTTAATATATATAAGTATTTGGGAGTGTGGTAGTTATTGTTTGTTAAAGTGTTTTTTTACTTAAAAATATATTAAAATAATATATTTTTTATTTTTTAAAATTTATTTTTGATATCAACATATTAAAATCATTTTAAAACATAAAAAAATTTTAAACTAAAAAAATTAAATTTTAACAAACTTCTTATTGAACCTCACTAAATCAAAGAATCAATAATTGCGATTCAACTAACACTAGTATTAACTGTTTAGTGAAAATTCAACCAGGAAAAAACAATTAGAATCAAAGTAATAGAATGAAATTCTTAACATTATATATCAATCTATAAATAATATCTTACAGAGAACTCACAATTAATAGAGTAATGGTTTAAAATAATTTACAACTTCGATTGCATATCTTGCTGGGCACTCTTTATTTCTGCCTCAAGGAATATTGGAGAGGACAGAGTTAAAAGAGGGAGAATCTGTATTGCACAATTACTATGGAAAATCTTAGGCCATAGCCGGATCGGATTTTATCTCTCCAGACCAGTACAGGCTTTTACATAGAGTTTCTTGAATTTTTAGATTGGACCAAGCTGGTAAGCCTTGCTATAGTCCCCTCCCCAAGGCCCACAAGGCCTAACCTCCTTTATGTAGCTCTGAGAATTCTTGTTTCGATTTTGAAGGTGGCAGACCTTGAAAGGGAAGTCCTTAAGCAGAAGGAGCTCCGTCTCATGTACAGGAAGAGGATGGAAACTACGCAAGATTATCTAAAACATTGTCTTCAAGTAGCACAAGAAAACGGCTTCTTGGACCTCATAATTCAAAACAAAGATGATCAACAAGGAATAAAAGATGCTCTTCCTACCAGTATTGTGAGCCCCAGAATTACCAGTCCTCATCAGCTGCCCGCTCAAGTGCCCCAATTTCCAAATCTTGCTTTCACTATCGATCAAGCCAAGATGAATGGATGGTTTATTGAATCTCACGAGGTAAGGCCTCCCATGCTTATTGGCATCACTACATTGTTTATTAGACCATTGCAGAAGGATAAGAATACAACGTATAATTCAAGCTTGTACATGTAACGTAACAGATCGAATTTCAAGAGAAAATTGGCCAAGGAAGTACTGCAGATATCTATAGAGCAATTTGGCGAGGATTTGATGTTGCAGTGAAGTGCATGTTTCCTGATTTTTTCCTTTCAAATGAAAATGGTGTGAACTTTTTCGCTCAAGAACTTGACACTTTATCTAGACAGCGGCATTGTTATGTGCTGCAACTATTGGGGGCATGCATTGATCCCCCTAGTAATGCATGGGTAGTGACAGAAATTTTAGGCATGACACTAAAGGAGTGGCTACATGGACCAGGTAGCAGGCGAAACGAGCGATCGGTTCCAATTCCTCCATTTCAAAACAGGGTTACTGTGGCATTGGAGATTGCTCAAGCAATGCAATATCTCCATGAACAGAAGCCCAAGGTCATTCACCGTGACCTAAAGCCTAGCAATATATTCTTAGACGATTCCAATCACGTCAGGGTGGCAGATTTTGGTCATGCTAGGTTCTTGGATGACGCAGAAAAGGCACTCACCGGTGAAACAGGCAAGGACTAGTTCAATTAACTACTTGCTACTGTTCAAGTACGCAGTCAGATTATTTTGCATAAGTTTACGATGCTTGTATTTCTTTCTTTGATTTCTTATAAATCTCCAGGAACATATGTCTATATGGCGCCAGAGGTGATTCGCTACGAACCTTATAACGAAAAAAGCGACGTTTATAGCTTTGCTGTAATACTTAATGAGCTTATGACTGGGGATTATCCATACATAGAAACAGATTTCGGTCCCAGCAAGGTATGCGATCAAAGTTGTAAGGTACTCCACCTTAATTGATGGTTTGCTAGTCTCATATGTATTTATCTACCTTTTCTTGCGAAATCAGATTGCAATGGAAGTTGCCGAAGGAAAGCTGAGGCCTATGCTTCCTCACGAGGACAATGATCAACTCGGCGAGCTCATCGATCTCATTTCTCAATCATGGGATCAAGATGCTTCTGTTAGACCATCCTTTGCCACAATCACTTCTAGTCTCAGAAAAATCCAACAGAGAATCATAGAGGGTGCTTAAAAATGTCAGATTTTATCACTTCTTAATGTAATTGTACTTTAAGAGGTCTAATAATAAAATACTTGTATGATTAGTAATATTTATAATTATGATTATAATTCCATATGACCATCAGCGGCACGTTTCCAATTTTACCTTAACGTTTTGTCATGTCATCTCCGATTAAAGCTGCAAATTTGCAACTTTTGTGTCATCACGCCCATCCCTCAAAAATCCATCCCGGTGCTGCCGGAATTCTTGTTTTCAATCACTGGCTCGATGCATAGCTATGGGCCTATGGCCACTCCTAGTCAGGTCCAAATCGGTTTCTGACTTGTAAGAGAGCACATTGCTTAATGGGGGACAAAACATGCAGGGGTGTCAGAAACTTAGTGCAATTAAAGGCATCTCCAGTGTTCCGAGTTGTGTGAGGGTGATTGTGCTAATTTTAAAAGGAGAAGCAATGCTTGGTTTTAGATCTGTGAAATATAAGTGGCAAGCAAGGTTGTTTTCTATAAAAAATTTTTTTTAATTATTAGTATAACAGCAATGACAAATAATAAAATAAAATATATTTTAATTAACTCGAGTTAATTATCAACTCATTTAATCCATAATTTTATTATTATACTAGATTGATTATCAAATGAAGTTTAAAAGCTATAATTCTAACAGCATTTGAAGTTGTTTTATATTTTACATGGAATGAGTAAAGGGAGAGGGAAAGTATACAGAAAAAAAGAGTTAGAATTTTCTCTTTATTTTATAGCTACCACGGTGATGTCTGCCATCGTTGCTGCCAAAAGAACCAAATGAATGTCCATGAGAGGATTAAGAGAATGAAGACTAACCATAACATCTCCTTGGCGTAAGTCTTGGAAAGAACTATGGAGTTGCATTATGCGAGAATTTGAGGGAAGCAAGGGTTGTTTCAAGAGTCTTCCAGATGCTATACGGTGTCTCACATCAAACCACAAGGTGCAAAAAAGGCACTCATAATTAATTGATCTTGTTGTTTCCACGATAGAAAATAAGACATAACCACTATAGTTGTTGGATTGGTGACAGCAATATTAGGAGGAAGAACATGGGTAAGAACCATCAACAAAAGCACACACTTCTTGTCGGCAGTGTATGTTTTTGCGGCAGCATTCTGCTTTTGAAAAAGTTAAAAATAAAAAATTTAAGATGATTTTTTATATATTTATATATTGTTTTGATACATTAAATTTAAAAATAATTTTTTTAAAAAAAGAGTAATATTGCAAAAACAATTACTACAGGTCGACTTTAGAAAGAGAAATAACAGCAGCACCACGATGATGAGGACTAGGAATGGCAACAACAACAAAAGTTATGGGGAAAAACACCTACGTTGATTCAGAAACTGGAAGATAGGCTGGCAGCGCAACAAACATTGATGAAGGAGTAATCGATGCCCTAAAACCAGGAGGAAAAGCCATCGACACAGTGGGTGTAGATAGGGCAGTCCGTCAACATGGTCGAAAAAACATAGGAAGTACTCACAGTTTGATCGTGAATAAGATCCATGAAAAAGTTCTGTCAGGATATGGGGAGGAGTATATGAGGTATATAATTTCTGAGTATAAGAGAAGCCTTGAGTGAGCAACTGTCCTCCTATACGGTGTAAATATTCTTAAACAAGATAATTCCCATGATAATGATAAACATAAACATTAATAATACATGAATTAATGCGCCACTGTTAGGTGATGGTGAAAAAATGCAATCAAACCACTCCATCTCTTTCGTCTCTGTAGTTAAAAAAAATCAAGCTAGCATCCATGAACGAATGCCAATTTTATCGAAGTTGACAGCAAATATGAGGAACCAAACAAGAGGTTAAAGGTTAGTGGGACGAAAGACATTGGTGAAAGTGATGTTCACATCAGATCTTTTTTTATTATTTCTTTTTGGTATAAACTAGTTTGTGGGACAGAAACAAAATCACACCACATTTTAAAAAAAAATAAGTTTATCGTAAAGTGAAGTAAGAAATCTTTTGATATTAAAGTTAGTAATCGTGGAAAACAAAAGGGATGGTGTATAATAAAAGAAAAGTAAAGGAATGTTGTGCGCATATCTGAGTTTAGTCCTCTATCTAGCTCTGTCCAAAAAATGAGTCCATTTGCCTAACGAGAATGAGCGTATTAATACATCTAGCTTGAAATTTCTCTATGAAAAAGGAAATCATGTCATTCGCGAATTATAATGGCTCGTTGGTAGGTGCGAGTTGCCATAAATTTCATGCCTAGTAAATGATTAAAAGAAAAGTTGGTATGTCGCGGGATATATTTATTTTCATTATAATTATTGGAGATAGAACACAACTGTCTGTCCTACAATAATATTGTGTGTGCAAGAAAAAAACAAGCTACACTTAAAATTATGAGATAATAATTGATAGAAGAGTACGTATATTCTGTGTGACATGTGGATATTGTTTTTTATTTTTTAATTAATATGAATGTTCTGGTAAATTTATAAATATTTCAATTAATTTTATAAATTTTAAAGATAATAATTATATAAACTTTCTATAATCATTATATTAATAACCACTTAACTTAAATTTGATACTATAAAAAAAATGATCCCAAATTTTGACTGATTTTATTTGTTGGAAAAAAGAAAAGCAGGGTCAGTGGGCGGACGACTTGCGGACCTCGTAGCCCTGGCTTGGGCGACCATTTTTGGTCCTCCTAGATAGGCGACCCTCCCGCCAGTGGGCGACCATGGTGGTCACCAAGAGGCGACGCCGATCGGGCAAAGAAGGAGCGGCTGCCACAGAAGGATTACTTTTGGGCGCCCGTGATTGTTCGAATTAGTGCTAAGAGATAATAGAGGTTCACAATTCACTTTGTTTCAAAGCAAGAATTAATGGATTTTCTGAGGACATACGCTAAGTATCATTTAAATATATTTACTGTTGGATTGTTGTAAAAAAATAAAAATAAAATATTTTAATGAAAATAAGCTATATACAACAAGTGTTTTTTTTTATATGATAATGTTTTTAAGCCTTGGCAATAAATTATATAAAAAATAAAAAATCAAATTTTATTTCAAAGCATGACTTTCAACAAGTGTTGGTTAACTGAACCTGTAAGAAATATAGGATATAATAAATTATTATTTTTTAGAATAAAAGGGAATATCTTAATAATCCTAACCTAAATAATAATTTTTAGTATGTATTTAAGAGTATGGTAGTAGTTGATTTTTAAAGTATTTTTTATTCTAAAATACATAAAAATAATATATTTTTTATTTTTTTTAAATTATTTTTAACATCAATATATTAAAATAATATAAAAACATTAAGATATATTAATTTAAAAAAAAAATAAATTTTTTTAAAAACATTTTTAAAATACAATATCAAACACCATTCTTGCCTTGGCAACCAGGTTTTTCTTAAAATCGAGATGGGTTAATAAAAATGGGACATGAACTCGAGTCCTTTTGTCTCTTCTTTCTTGCAAACTTATAATGAGCTGCAAATCCGACCCTTCAACCACTGATGGAACACACTTAAAAATAGCTCATTAGAACTATTGAATGCTTCAGGCGAGCAATTGGAAAGGGTGCGACTCCAATCTTTATAGCAGGCCCAGTCATAAGACTCGCGCACTTAGGAAATTTAATTGCAGAATGTGAATCAATATCTGGGTAGTTTTGTAGTGTGTGATGGTGTAGTGATTATTATTTTTTAAAATTTATTTTTAATGTTAGTATGCAGAAACAACAAAAACATAAAAACATAATCTAAAATAAAAAATTAATCTTTTTTAAAAACAAGATGGCACTATAAAAATAAATATTATCATGTAACTTGTGACTTATTAGAAATAAAACTGGTTTATTTTTACATTTTAAAAATATTTTTTATTTATTTTTTAATTAAATTAAAGTTACTCGATATTCCCATGTGTTTACATTGAAAATAAATTTTAAAAAATAAAATATTTTTTAAATAAAAAAATCGCTATAGTAATTGTCATTTTTCTAGTATTTCTTGTAGCGTCACGTGGTTATCATATTGCTCCAAAGCAGCAAGATAGTCCGAATAAATAATTAATTGCTAATGTTGATTAACTCATAGAGAATAGTTCCTTTCATCGGACCATCGTTTTCAATTATAGAACATCATCATATCCTGTCAGATAAAGACAGTATAAATTTGTTCTAAGAAAATGGTCATTGACACGTGTTTCATGGTAGAAACTGAATAATCTCAGCAATCAAATCGAGTTATATGGGCGCGGGCAAGTGTAGACCATGATCCGGGCTTTGAACCGACACCCAGCAATGAAATGAGCTCTGCATGAGCACTTTTCCCCCCCAATAATTACTGTCGAAATTTGAATGAATTAAGGGTCGGAATTCGTCACAGTCACAGCGTACCGAACTCAGTGATTGATCGGAATCCCAGAGAGAGATGGTCCTCATCTATTTATTTTTTTGTTTTAAAATAATTTTTTTATTTGTTTTAAATTAATATTATTTTAGTATTTTTAGATTATTTTAATATGCTTATATTAAAAACAATTTTTTAAAAAAATAAAAATATATTATTTTAATATATTTTTAAATAAATAATATATTAATAAATAACTACAAATATACTTTTAAACATGATGCCCACATGTTCTGTGCTGCTTTGGAGAGCCATGCAACGCCAACGGGTCAAACTTTCAGGAAACGGGTCAAATATGGGCACCAGCGTAGACCAATATTAGTCAAGATTATTTTTTCTTCTCGGGGATGTGAATATCTCACTTATGGTGAATGTTATAATATATATATATATATAGGATAAAGCAATTATAAGCAACTGAACTTGTCTGGTTTTTATAATTGAGTATTTGATTTTTAATTTGATTTAAAAAGGTGTTTGATTGTTTTATTTTTGCACAATAAAATATTCATGTTGATGAATACTTAAATTAATATTCATGTTAACGTCATTAATGAGATGTCAGCAAGAGTGAAAGGACAAATTAATGAGATGTGAATATCTTTTTTATTTAATAATCACTGTTTTTTAATTTTCAACTATGTTTATCCCTCCCCTTTACTTGCTAACATGGCATCTCATTTATTCTTAAATGTTAATGTATTTATCATCAGTTAAAAAAA